GAATTTAGTATCAGGACCAAAGTTAGACATAGACGGTTTTGATGTTTCTCATGGTCATGGCAGACTTACTATTAGTTTCAATTCTCAAGTGTTTGGTCATGGTTTTCTGGATGGTGGTCTCTATAAATTAGAACTAGATGATGATTTTTCCAAATCTTTGTTGTCATATAATATCAATCAGACACTAACAAAGAGAAAACGAAAACGAGACTTAGAAACTTCATCCATGTTGTGGCATCAACGCTTAGGCCACATTTCACGAGAACGTTTATCTAGACTCGTGAAGAATGAAGTGTTACCATCTCTCGATTTCAATGATTTTGGAACATGTGTCAAATGCCTTAAAGGTAAAATGACATCAGTGAATAAGAAAGGTGCCACTAGGAGTTCTAATTTATTAGAGCTCATTCACACTGACATTAGTGGTCCTTACTCTATCACTGGCATAACTGGACATAACTCATTTATCACTTATATTGATGATTATTCTCGTTATATGTACTTGTATCTCATTAAGGAAAAATCTGAATCACTTACAACTTTTAAAGATTATAAAACTGAAGTTGAAAAACAACTTGATCGTCAGATAAAAGTTGTAAGATCAGATAGAGGAGGTGAATATTATGGTAGACATACTGATGTGGGTCAAGCTCCTGGTCCATTTTATGAGTTTTGTAAGGGCCAGGGGATCGTGAACCAATATACTATGGCTGGTACTCCTCAGCAGAATGGTGTTGCTGAGAGAAGAAATAAGACCCTAATGGACATGGTACGCAGTATGTTAGCCAACTCAGGTTTACCTCTATTTCTTTGGACTGAGGCCTTAAAAACAGCCGTTCATATACTCAATAGAGTTCTTTCTAAAGCTGTCCCTAAAACTCCTTATGAACTCTGGACAGGAAGGAAACCGAGTCTAAGATATATGAAAGTATGGGGTTGTCTTGCCGAAGCAAAACTTTATAATCCCTTCTTGAAGAAACTTGACATGAAAACTGTAACTTGCTACTTCATTGGTTATCCTTCTCACTCAAAGGGTTACAGATTTTATTGTCCTTCCCACGTCACTCGCATTGTAGAAACCAAAGATGCTCATTTCCTTGAAGATTTTAAGGTCAGTGGGAGCAGTGAAAACCCTTATGATGAATTGCTAGAAGTACAAGACGCGGGGGAGAGAGACTTGTCGATTACTTTACCTCCAATTACTCCTCTTGTACTCAATGCCAATCCGCAGGACACTGCACCACCTCCTACTCCTAATGTACCTGGAAATGAAGACACCTCAAATGATCACCATCAAGACAATGCCGCCAATGCTCAACCCGATAATTTGCTCAGGAGGTCATCTAGGTCTAAAAGGCCTACTAACTTTGATGATTATGTTACCTACCTGACTGAAGCAGAAATGGATGCTGGAAAGTTTACTGATCCTACCTCTTATAATGAAGCCATTAA